TTAGAGAGAGATTTCTTCTCTATATAAGTACGAATCTATTTATATAATTTTTATGATTTTATAATCAATTAACTTTACAGATAAATGATTCATCTCTTTATTTTCACAAATCACTTAAAATTTTTTTATTTTTTTAGTATCTTTAAAATTTCCCTACCCCTTTTTTATATAAATGTGAATTGTTTTAAAACAAAAATTAATCCGTCGCTTTTTTTTTTTTTTTTCTCTTAGAGAATAAAAAAGAAAAAAAAACAGCACCCACCATCATTCTTTTTTTTTTTTTTTTTCTCTTAGAGAAAGAAAAAACAGCACCACCATCATTCACATGATCTCATATCCTTCATCATCATCATCATACAAAAACCCAAAAAACATTAAATTTTTTCCCTTAACCGGCCGCCTTCCATGCTTACACATGCATGCTTGTTGTGTCAGGAGAGAGAGGCATGTCCCCTCTCGCAACCCATGATGTCTTTCTCTCTCTGTCAATGAATTACTAGTTTTCCCTCTCTAGCTTTTTGCTTCTATATATTAACAGTCTCTTTGTTCATTTTGTCCCTCACTCACCAAAATTTTATTTCTTTTTTACGTTCACCACTACAGCTGCTAGTTGTTACAAGCCAGACAGATAGATCAGCTTCCTCGGCCAAGGCTCTCTAACCAACCACCTTGAAAAGGTGATCTTTTTAGAAAAGATAAAGAGAGAAACAAAAGAGGCCCCCACCTCTCTCTTATGTTGTTTTTTTTTTTTTCTTTCTTTCTTCCTTTCTTTCTTTCATTCTTCTTGCCTTTCTTTCACTAAGATAGGTAAACATGGTTACGTACATGAATTGTTGTGGTGAGTTTTTAGTTGGTCTTGTTATTGTTTGTTCTGTATCAAATAAGACATTTTAGAGTACATAGGTACACTCTCTCAATCTTTGGAGTTCTTTGCCTTGTCTATCTAATAAAACAATCTCATTTGGAGGAGGGAATGTCTGTTTTTCTTTTAATTCTTTGGATTCTTTTCTTGCCCTTTTTTTTTAATGGAGGAGACTCTTTGTCTTTCTCCAGCTCTGAGGTTGTCTTCTTTTTCTTTTCCTTCTTTTTTTTTTTCTTTTTTTTTTTTTTAATTTCTTTTTTTTTTTTTAAATTTTTTTTTTTTTTTTTTTTTTTTTAAATTTTATAACTTTCGGCATATCCGTCATATGAGGATTACATACACTCTTTTATGGTAATAACACATACAAACATAAATGTGGTTTTCTCTAATGTAGACACATACATAAGTTCAGTCTTGGTTCAGAGAAAAAAAAACCCTTTATCCTTTTCTTTCAGGTTTGGGAAACCGAAAGAGACACTAATGTAGTGATGAGTACAGATTTGGACAATCTCTTATTCCATCTCCATTGCTCTCCTTCATTTATCTTCTAGATGACTGTCTACTTGCTTTCTCTATCTATATATACATATTTATATGTCAGGGTGGTCCAAAACGTATTAATTTGTTGTTTGCCCTGCTTTCCTCTGTTGTTTTTGGTTTCTTTTCTTTTGACTATCACAACTCTACTTGGCAAGGCAAGAAATAAAGTTAGAAATTCTGAGATAAGACTAGTTCTTAGACATTCTACTGTGCTGTGGACCTTTTAGTTTCTGATCTTGTTGTCTCTGCTCTTCCCTTGTGTCCAAAAATTTTTGGTAATTGAATATACTTTTAGAATTTAGTTCAATTTCCATTTCTTTCTCACACTATTCTTATTCTATTTTGAAATTTAATTTCTTTATTCGGCTGGCAATCTTTGTGTTGTTTCATCTTGGTGTAAGCATTGTGTCATCATCCTTATTTATTTATTTTTTGGGTATATCTTTATTTGTTTTTTATTTTCATGTAACTTCAAATTAAAGTATCTGTGCTTTTAAATATAGTATTTCAATACTGTCTTCATGTGCTGTACAAAATAAAGAATAGTTTCTGAGATACCTTTCTTTAATATTTTAGTAACATGGGTGTTGTTTTGTTTTGGTTTCAGGGGCATTACAGTCTTTTTGAGAACTTATTCATAGTCATGGAAAGACTCAACTCAAAGCTGTACCTGCAGAACTGCTACATAATGAAGGAGAATGAGAGGCTAAGGAAGAAAGCACAGCTTCTTAACCAGGAGAATCAAGCACTGCTATCTGAGCTGAAACAGAAGCTTTCTAAGTCCAACTCAAAAGCCAATGCCTCCAACACCACTATTCCTGACCTGAACCTCAGTTCAAGTTCTACTCATAATCCTACCAATTCCAGCACTAATTAATCAGGACTCCCTTTTGCCTTTTTTGTGTAAAACATAGTCCCCAACAGTAGTAGTTGTTCCAATTTCAATCATATAGGACAGTAGAAGTATCTTCTTAGCAGGGTTTCTTTTACTTCTATTTCTATGTTTTATCTTATCTTTCTTTTTTTTTTTTTTGAGCAGGGTTTTCTTTGTACTTCTATTTTCTATGTTTTAATTTATCTTCCTTTTTTTTTTTTTGGGGGGGGGGGGTGGTTTGATATATTGGATTTCTCGTAATCCTAACACAGGATTATTCAGGCCTATTTGCTAGAAAGGATATATAATTGTTATTAATAGGTTTTTAGATCTACCTGTCTCTCTCGTTTCTCTAACACAAATTAATGCAATTATAATATCTAAATTCATTTTTTTTTTTTTTTTTGGGGGGGGGGGGTGGTTTGATATATGTGGATTTCTGAACTACAAGGATGTATCAGCCTATTTGCTAGAAAGGAATATAATGTTATTATAGTTTTTAGATTTTACCTGTCTCTCTCTTTCTCTAACACAAATTATGCAATTATATATCTAAATTCATATTGGCACAAAATTAACAAAAGCAACAGTGTATCAAAAAATGGCACATAATGAAGTTGCTCCCAATGGGAATCAAGTAATTCAAAGTTCATATCAGTTTCATAAGCTTTACTGAGACATATTTGATTCAATGTTTATTAACAAAACAGCAAATGTGGAGTGCATTTTTCTTGTTTCATTCACAGATAGATAACAAATTTTGAACAGAAAAATGGAAATCTTAGATATCCATTCAAGTTGAAAGTCTAGATACATGTTCTTATATCACACTGCAGTTTTCATGTGGCAAAACTAAAGTTAAAAGTAACAACTCCTTTACTTCCCTAATCTGCCACAAGCTTGAAAACTCTCTCTCTTTTTTTTAATTAATTTAGGATACACCGGTTCTGAATTCACAATCTTATACTATTTTCTAATAGAACTTCAATAATCAGAACTCATTTATCTTGTATTTTTTTTTCCTTTAAACAGTTAGTCGAGGCCTTAAGGGCAGAGTATGACAAGCATAGGATCCGTATATTGTCTTTTGTCTCTTTCTTTTTATTATTATTTTTTTTTAAAGAGGGAATAAATAGAATAGATTAGAAAGAAAAAGCTGGATGCCAGAAGATTAGAAAGGGAAGGGCTTTTCATATAGATTCTGTTTGATTGGAGGATCTAATCAAAGGATAACGTCATCAAGAGAATCAGAAGAGCAAGTCAATGAGAATTTATTAATTTTGAAAAGAAGTGGTAACCCACAAATATCAATTCATGGATATGACCTAGACCCATATGGCTTATGCTAGTTGACCATTATATATACACAGATAACAAACAAAAAGAATGTCTTATCAGAACACAAAATGAATAGCTAAACAAAAATAAACAGGTCTCTGAGGCTACCAAATCCAGTTACCAACTCAGCAAGTCAATTGGGATGCTACAAAGAAGTCCAAGGAATGATGACTTAGATCTTCTTCGAAGACCTAGACCAGGATCATCTCAGAGATCTCAGTTCAAAAACAACTACAATCAACAATAAAATAATGAAAATAAAAAGAGTTGGACAACAAATACCTAAATATCAAAACAAATTTCAAAGTTAATCATTTTATGAAGATTTTCAGTCCTATGGGATATAATTTTAGTAGACACTCTAAGCTCACTTCTTTCTCTAGACTCAAGGTTTGCATGCAGGTGGTGTCAAGTTGCAATTTGTGTATTAAGTCAAAACTTGGACAATGTGATACTATTTAATGGCTGAAAGCTTGAAGATAATATGGGCACAAGATTTCAATGTACTAATTGATAGTTTGTAGATGTAGACCTTATGACTTATTTCTGATGCTAGAGGATTGAGGAAAGGCAGCCAAGGTACTTTACCTCATTGTTTTTTGTTCTCCATATCAAAAAATTTTTAAAGAAAAAAGAAGTTTATCGTGGTTAGCATTGACTTCTGTATTATATGGCAGAAACTCGATTTGTGGGTTATTACTTCTCAGCCTAATTTTGTGTACGGACCATTGAAAAGAAACACGTTGGTGCGAATTGTTGCCTTTAAACCGATCAGAAAAAGAAAATGCCAGTCCAAATATGTACTTATTGCGCAAAAGCTCAATCAATCAACTTGTCAATACAAGGCTCTTTCAATACTCAATCTTACAGGAATTCTAATGATTTTCTGTTGCAAGAAACTTGTAATATTGTACTCTTTAGAAATAATTTCAGCATTTTGATAATTTAACAACACAGGGAGCAATAAAACAGAACTAAGAGATTAATTACCTTGACATGGATGCAATGAAGATTCCATAATATGCAGGAACAGCAGAACTTCATGATATCCCACGCTCATTTCTCTTTTCATCGCTCACTGTAGTGCCTACGATAAGATTGTTGATTAGACCAATTAGATGGACTGTAACTTCAATTCCAAAATATAGTCTCAAAATTAAATAGATGATTTTGATTTCAAAATCAATAGAGGAAGCAGTGATTTTACCTTCACGGAAACAAATCAGCAAACAACAGATATGCGTTCCAAGTTTCATTCGTTATTCACCAATATTCTATCAATTTGGTAGGAAAATGAATACTTGGATTTGATTTGTTTCTAAGAAATTAAATGGCAGCAATAATTAGGTGCATAAAAGCAAAATCAAGTAGAGGAGTTCAAAACAACGACATTGAAAGAAATTCGTTTCACTTGCGAATAAGAATATCTAACGACGAAAACATATTTATATATATGTATATATATATAAATATGGGGTGGTCCTCCCTCTGCAACCAAACAAGCGCACAGTTTCGAGGGGATAATAAAAAAGATCACCATTGCCGGGAAAGAACCCGGGTCACCAGCGTGACAGGCGGGTACAGTCACCACCATACTACAAGGACTTTATGATCCGATGGCAGAAATAAATGTATAACAACACGCCCACAGTTTCAACCGGATAAAAAATAATCGCCGTTGCCGAGGATCGAACCCGGGTCACCCGCGTGACAGGCGGGAATACTTACCACTATACTACAACGACCTGACGATATCCTTACCAAAATCTATTGCTAACTCCAGTACAGTGTCGACGGGATAAAAAAGGATTCGCCGTTGCCGCCCCGCGTCACAGGCGGGAATACTCACCACTATACTACAACGACCTAACAATAAGTAGCAAAAGGCAAACATGAACAAAATTTTGGGCTATCTGTACACATACTTCGTGAAGTGGTTCATTTATACAAGCGCACAGTTTCGCCGGAATAAAAAGGATTCGCCGTTGCCGGGGATCGAACCCGGGTCACCCGCGTGACAGGCGGGAATACTTACCACTATACTACAACGACTTGATGATTCTCTCGACGCAAAATTACTAGATCGTTGAACTTTAGACCGACGTGAAGTGAAACATTACATGTTCAGCGTCAACATTGTAAATTGAGGGTATATTTAATATAAAACCGAAAGAAACTGAATATGATAATTTGCGGTTTTATTACACAAAATAGCAGTCGTCCAAATAACTGGATTAGTATTTTCAGTTGATTAATACAAACCAATTACAAAAAAATATCTAAATCCAAAATATTTTAATATATGTGTTACTGTCTTCAGATCTGCAGTTTGCACTCTTAAAGTAATTATATACATTTGCTTATAAATTTATAGACAATTGTATAGAATAAAAATATAAATAATAAAATTAATTAATTTCAAAATATTTTAATATATGTGTTAACTGGTCTTCAGTATTCTGCAGTTTGCACTCTTAAAGTTACATTATATACAATTGCCTTTATAAACTTTATAGACAATTGTATAGAATATAAAAATAGTAAAATAAAAAAATTAATTAATTAAGTCATTAATCTAACAAGTCACAAGTGTCCAAAAAAAAATTATAAAGGCAGTCATATTTAAATTTAACTATCCAAATAACAATTAATATAATTAATATTAAAAGAAGTATTCCTTAAATTTTCAGTTACAAAATTATAGTTAGTAACCAATTAAGCATAACGTTCATTGTCAATAATCTCAAAAGTTATACCATATTGTTGTCATCTGTCACAAAAACTATATAAATATAATTTGCACTCTTGATTTTATTTTACTATGGGATAAAAATGCAACGTTTTGACCAAAAAAAAAAAAATCCGAGATAAAACATATATAAATAAAACATATAATATTAATCTAGCTAGATATTATATATATATTATAGTATATTATATATATATACTATATATTATGAAAGGGTAATAACCAGGCAAGTGGCCGCTGACCTTGTGATATCATAAAATGGATCCCTTTAATTATGTAGATCTAAATAGTATTGTTAATAACTCTGATGCATTCTGAATCCCTCAGAAATAAAAAGGGTCCATACATCGTAGATGAATTATATATAAGGTATAACCAGGCAGTAGGCCGCGACTTGTGATATCATAAAATGGATCCTTTATTATGTAATCTAATAGTAAAGTGTTAAATTCTGATGATTCTGAATCCTTAGAAATAAAAAAGGGTCAATAAATTCCGAAATGGAAAAAAAAAAAAATTTTTAAAATTTTTTGCAAAGTTATACCCTACTCAAGGAATATAATATATATATTTTGAGTACATAATCTGGTATTAAGTTTGAATAAACCGATTTTTTTTCAACTAAACGCGTATCATAACTGACAAAACTCAAATTATTATTATAACTTATATATCTTGAGTACTAATCTGGTTAATTTGAATTAACCGGATTTTTTTTTAAACTAACCGTATCATAACTGAAAAACCAAATTAATATTTATAACTAACTAATCCAAACCAAAACTAATTTATTGATAGCCGAACCAAATCAAATTATTCGGTTCGGTTTGGATTTTCTGTTATATCGGCAAATTGCTCACCCCTATATATATTGGTATCATATGCGATACACTAGCAGAATACATATTATCTAAGACACTCGCTTCTCAAGTGCTCAAGAGGGATGAAGGCAAGACAAATAGTCTTATTGATATAATTTTTGAGAGAGCCACTAAATAATTCTTGGGTGCATGATATTTTTCTTATTTAACTAATAAAAAATAACAATAAAATGTTTATGAGAATAATATTACTATATTATTATCATATGTGATACATTAGTAAAATACTGATCATCTAAAACATTCGCTTTTGAAGTGTTTATGTGGAATGAAAGCAAGACAAACAGTCCAATGTTGATGTAATTTTTGGGAAAGCCCCCAAATAATTCTGGCAGTCATATCTCAAAAATTAATAGCTAAGAAAAAATCAAGTCTATAACCTTAAAATATTTTCATTTCAGGTTCTCTTTATCTTCAAAATAACTTATTTTTATTTTTTATAAATATTTTTTTTAAACAACTCATATTCTCTTGTTTGCTTGAAATATTAAAAATTAGTTTCGGATTAAAACTGGATTAAAAATTCTAAGCCAACTCTATTTCGAAGTAAATAGACAATACTTCCTTTGTTTTCTTTATATGGTAATATAGAGAATTTTACTTAAAATATAAATTTTAGGAATGATATCAGATGAAAAAAATTCAAAATGTCCTTATATAAACTCTGTTATACTTGTGATAATTGTTTACTGAATGATAAAAGTGGCAAACAAAAAAGGTTGCATTTAATGCATTTGTATTTGCAAAGTATGGCTGAACGACTATTTTTCTATGTGTTTCACAGTGCTTGATTGTATGGATATAAGCATGAACATGAGGGATAGTTTGTGTAATTATCTATAATATAGACACACAATTGAATAGTTGCATAGTTTTAAAACATCATTTTATGTTGATATTACACCTTATAAATATGTAGATGAATTTTGTTAACTCCGACTAATTAAATGTAATTTTTTAATTTAATTGAGCATTAACAAAAATTTGTGCTAATGTTCTTCGATCGAGATGTAAGGAAACTGACTTAAACAAAATGATAGCTTAGTCTAAATAACTTGTACACTATCTCGATTTCTCTCAAATGAAATAAGGGTATATACTTCTAGAGAGGTACTTTTTATAAATCGCTCGCCCAAATCTCTCCAAAATTCGCTTATTGTTAAATCTGGTCAATCATTGAGAAGCAGAGCTGAATTCTTAATATTTTGTTTTCATCTTTCAACAATGGCTATAGCATTAGAATGAGGTTCGATATCTCCACCTTTAACCAATGTATACATATGAAATAGATGCACCTAGTACATGCGCTAGAGAGCATATTATCATACAATGTCTAAGTGAGATTTTTTTTGTCATATATATGCTGAGATTTGAACTCTTTTTTTTCCCTGTTCCAAAGATGTTTCATGACAGAAATGTTATTCCCCGGATGGATCTTTGCACTTCGCCAAATTTTATAAATTGACTTCACATATATATTAAATATGGCTCCAACTTTTTTTCTAACTATGTTCATTTAGATTATCTTATTGCAACTAAAAAAAAAAAAAAAGGCATGATGGTTACAAAATTTTTAAATCATTAGGTATGTTTTTCTTTTTGTTTCCTATATTCCTGTTCACTATAGCAATATTACTTCAGGAACAATCACAACTCCTTATTTTTTGTCAAGTAAGGAGTTCAAATCTAGCATTTAGAAAGTTATTTTGAGAATGTGTTGGTGAATTGGTTGGAATGTGATTGAGATAAAATAGAAATGGTTGATTCATGATGCAAGACTTCTTATTGTCCTCTTTTATGTGAGACTTTGGAATGTTAATCCAATTACATGTTCATGTTTTGTTTCAAATTTATATATGGGCATATTGTAGAAGTTGAGTAGACAATGAGAGTAACAAAAATTTTGAATTTACATTTGCTTTATACGAGGAAAATTAAAAAATTGAAACTAAAAGTTATAATTTGAAAAATTTTGAACTTTTAAGAGTTTAATGCCATTCTCACTTTCCTATTTTTGGCTGCAAATTCTCTAATTAATGTGGCTTTTAGGAGTCATTGCATGAGTTGGCACTCTCACGATTAATGGATTAATTGATGCTTTTTAGGGATAAATGAGCACACAACCCCGGCGAGATGCACTGGTTAATTATAAATGTCATTTAAAGTTGTGATATGATATAATAGAATTTGACATTTTATAATAAAAGTGTGTATGATACTTCATATTATTGACTTCCCACATAATAATTTAACTTATAAACAACATTATGAATACTATATTGACATTATCATGCACATGTAATTATATAATAAACCACAATAGTACCTATGCAGTTTGATAATGCTATTTCTAGTAGAGTTTTGTCAAAATATTTGTTATCACACAAATATATAGATTTTCAATCAAATAAAGTTGAAAATTCAAATATGTTCGTTTTTTTCTTAGTTGTCACAATTTTATTATAATTTTTTCAACAATACAATTTTATTGTCAATCCATCATAATTTTAAACTATTTTTTAAAAATAAGAATTAATAAAATTATTAATGAAATTAATTTTATCATTAATTTATTAGTTAAATAATCAACAAAAGTAATTTATATTCATAATTAGTTGAAAATAAATACAGGAGATACTTTACACAAAAAGAAAATTTATTTGTTTTTTTTTTTACATTTTTACTAAGTAAAATTTAATATTTTATCCCTTCATAAAGTTTTTTAATGTGAATATATATGCAAAATAAGAGTCTTTTTTTAATGTGAATTTATTAGATATATAATATTTCTCAAATGAAAATGGGCAATTTGTATAAATAAAATTAAAACTAATTTTTATTAATTTTTTATCTTTGATGAAAATGGCCAATTTGTATAAATAAAAATTAAAACTAATTTTTATAATTTTTATTAATTTTTTATCTTTGAAATTTTAATTTGAGTTAATTTAGATAAAAAAAAGTCAAAAAAAATATAAATTTATATAGATATTATTCTTGGGTTTAAATAAGGTATAAAATATTATTATTTTTATTGATTGGGCTAATAAAATAACAAATAAATATTCTTTTAAAAAATATTATTAGTAGAGCTTTATATAAATTTATAATATTAATCTTTAATTTGCTTAAAAAAATTATTATCAACATTCAATAATTAATATTCGATGGATAACTGTTTATTATAAATGCAAATATTGATAGTATTTAATATTA